TCATCAATCTTAATACAATTAATATTATAAAATTCATATATTACCTTCAACATATTTACTACATATAATCATGCTCTTATAGTTGTAAAAATAGTTTATGTACATGCCAATTACCCTTATATTTGTAAAAATAGTTTCTGTAATTTATTGCACGAAAAAAAGGTTTCTCTATATTGGTTGTATTTTAAAATCACTCCAAAGAGCACGTGGAATGTGAAACTAACTTTACAACATCAAATTCCATAGACTCTTAAACCACATCAACCAAATTTACACTGGCTAAAAAAATATCGAACTATTCGTTTTGAGCCAAAATAAGTACAAATTTTCTAATGAGTAAAAAAATACCAAATTTTGGTTGACTCGGCCAAATTAAGTATAAAATTAGTCAACTTTAACAGCCATTAAATACCGTTTAATTTATCCGACTCAACCAAAGTTTGATATTTTTTTGATTCATTAGAAAGTTAGTATATATTTGGCTTAAAACGGATACTTCAGTATTAAAAATGACCGCTTTTCAATTTACAAATGTAAAATTTGAAAAAGGCTCGCACCGAAAATGCAAGACTAAAAACTTTAGTTTTCAATTTGTTTTTCTTTGTAAATATTTACTACATCAAATCATTTGGAATCTGATCAACTAAACCAAACCTTGCCATCGGATTATGACATAAATCATTACATTAATAATGATTAAATGTATACGAATCACATAATAGTATTGGATTTGAAAAATGTTAATAATGAAATATGATTTAGGGTTAAGGGGGGACAAGGAAATCTTTTGTAATTGGGCGAGTGCCCAAGTTTCACTAAATAATTGAAAATGTGTGGTCCAAGTCCAACTAGAGTGAAAGAACAAATGCTATAGTCTTGTCTGTTTTGTCAGAGTTTCCAATCTAAAGTCAACGCTTCCGACATTGTTTCACAGCTGTTTCCCATCTTCCCATGCCCTCTCCATTTTTGTTCATATATTCATATCCATTTTTATTCGTATATTCATTTCATATCTCATATTAACAGTTTGGGATGGTGATATTGGATGGAGTGCTATAGCCTATATAGGTAAGAAAATTGTGTAGGACATTATATCGTACAAGTGTTTAGCATGCGAAAATAATACATTATGCAGAACAAATGCACTTCCTTGTAAAAACGAGATAAATATCATTGTTTGATTGCTGAAAAATAATATGGTGCAAAGCAATTGTTTGAATGCTAAAAAATACATTAGAAATAGTTTGAGATACATATTTTAAATAATAATTTAGAAAGTAAAATTGAATAATATTATTCTTATTTGC